AAAGGACTTTTCTATTTGAAACATTATTTATTTTTTCTACCGTTTAAATTACAGAGCTTAATATCAATCAATTGAACGAAAAATTAGCGTCCGCGAAAAAGGATTATTTAGCTGAAGCGAACAGAAACTTGACGTTTAAGAACACGTTGAAGAAAATTAAAATTGACCTTCACAACATGTCGGCGAACCTGCAAGATCCGACAAAACTAAAGTCAAGCGTTAAGGTAATTAGTAATTTATATGTTAATTAAGAGGAATAACGTTATTTTCCCTACCGCTCTATAATCATCGTCATTCCAATGACTACGTTTCAATGATAAGTACATACAAAAATTGTTTACAGTAGAAATATTATCTTGAGAGATGTGTATGACTTTGTATGAGAATTATAATGAATTCAAACAAACTATTTTCGGTTTTGTTCGGTTCTTTGATGGACATATTTTATCGGATAAAATTCCAGGGACTATTCCATAAGTATGTAGAGGATGAGGACTTTATCCGAGGTCGTGCGGCTGAGGACGAGGCTGTCAGAGAATTCAACCGGCAGAGAGACCACCTCGAGAAGCAGATCGCTTCGCTCAAAGCCAACCTCGCCAAATCACTCGGGGGATCGAAGAGTGATATCACTAAAATTATGGATGTAAGTCTCTTGCGACTCTTGTGTTCGATCTTTTCATTAATAACACGAATTTGATTGTTAATCCGTCAAGTTCGCAACAGAACTTCGAAGCATCGTTCATTTTTTTTTAATTCAAAAGTTGGCAAACGAGCGAGCGGCTACCTGAAATCGCTGAAATAGCGAAGTGACCGTTGCCCATAGACATACGCAATTGCATATGCGTTGCCTACCTTTAATCGACGGAGAAGACGATGGACAGAAAGAAAATATTTTCCCTTTCCGGAAAGTCCACTTCCACTTCCCATCCTTTCCTTATAAGGAAATAGGGTGGGAAGGGAAAGAGGACTAATGTTGGCCTCCGGGACGCACACTCATCAGACGAAACTCGGAATTGCTTCCACTTCACGCCTGTCTTCTGTGTGGTCGTGGTATTTCACCGGGCGAGTCGGGCCGATTCGGGCCGATTCGTGCGAAGATGTTAAAGCGGGCTCTACCACTGTTAAAACACTACTACTTACCTTACGAACCAAAACGCTTACATTGCAGGTTACGTTTTGTACTCATTTTAGCTTGTCTTGTAACAACTCTTTTGGATTCATATTATATAGCTTCTTATTTTCATGACTCTGTCTACTTTACTAACCACCTTTTTCTCATATCGAAAGTTTTAAGTACGCTATGTCATTTAGTATTTTGAATGTTTATTGTGTAGGAAAACTGCACTTTGTTGACCGAGATCAACAATTTACGTACGGAGCTGAAGTCTACGCGTACCCGGTGTTTCCAAATGGAATCGATCCTCGGTTTGTCAGCGCGCTATATTCCGCCCGCAGCCGCGCGCGCGAAGCTCAAACAGGTCACAGAGGATCGGGAGAAACTCGACGAGAAATTCAAACAGAAGATTGATGTAAGTCTTAATGACGCAGAACAACGATCTTTTAGCCCATAGTTAAACTCTCATATTGACTCTAAAGGTTTCCCTAAAAACCTAAAAGGAATCAAGGATATATCCTAGTTTCATATTATTTTGCTTTGGATTCGTTTCGCCTATAGAGTTGTGGGCTATAGGCACATTTTTTTTAAATATACCTAGAAGATACCAAATTATAATACAAATATTGATTCGTTTTAGTTGGAAATCATTTTTCACTGGATTTTCAGGAAAGGGAAGAAATAATTGTAGCGTTGAAGGAAGAAAATGATCGCTTGCTCGCAAAGTTCCAGTGCCCTGAAGAGTACTGCGGCAATCCACCAGAGTTCAATCAGTGATTACATGCATCACTTATATATCTTTTGTAAACTAATTTTATCTTCGTCATAAATAAATTATAATTTTCTGTCTTAATAAATGAATTATCATGAGTAATATTTTTGTTTAAAACTCTGGGCTTGGCTAAAAATGTACCTAAAAATTTCTGGCTCCTAATTTTTGAATTAAATAGCAATTTCATAAAATAAATGTAAAAAAAGAAACGTAATTATAGAAAATAATAATTTTAATAAATGCTTCGATAGAATAAGTAAAAATAACAAAAGAAATTAATATACGTTTTTATCCCATCTAAATTGTCCTTTACATAACAAAGGAGAGACCAACCCGGAGACCCACTTTTGATGATTAGAAGCCATCACCTAAACAGTTTTTATTCATAAATAATTTAAAGCATCATTTACATCAAAGGGAACATAAAATTCTTCAACATAAAGCTCTTTTAGTAAAAAGATATTAGAAAATTTCTCATTTTAATTGCATTATAATAACTACGTCAATTAATTTGATTATGTTTAGAGAATAAAAGGCAGGATAGCTTTACGGTTCTTGGGATAGTCGGGGAACTCCTTCTTGTAGTTGCGGTGTTTGTTGATAGCCCACACTGACATCTGGTACATTCCGACTGCAGCAAATATACCCACTGAAAAAAAAAAACACATATCAGCAACAAACAATCCATTTATTATTGAACTTGAACAGCTAGGGCTACCACAAATAATTTATGATTAGTGTTTGCGTTCTGTTTGGAATTCAAACATAATATATAAAGAAAGAAAATGACTGTGTCAAATTTCACATGTGCAATTCTTCCAATTTAGATAGCCATTTACTGTGTGTTTCTGAGCCCAAAATCTCTGTATAGAACATATTGTCATCCATGTCATTACTTTTGAGCAAACAGATAACATGTTTAAAGCGGGGAGCTTGTTCTCAGAAACCCACCCTTAGAGACCTAGCTACCTTTCTTCTTTACCTAATTTTAGTGCTAACTTCAGTATTATAACAGAACATATAAAAAAAATGATGCAATATATTTTTTTATAAACACATAAACGCAGCAGTAAAATTGATTTGTGGCAAAAATTGATTCATTGTCAACTTATTATAAATAGTGCAATATTTCCTTTCATTAAAATGATAACCTTTAAATATTATACAAACATATTTACAAACGTGACTGGAGTATAATTTAAAACATTGAAAAAAATTACCAAGGTTAACTTTAATGGACATTGATTTTTATTAAAACAAAGTTATACATTCATTTTGTTTAAATATCAGTAGATTTTAGAAAATACAGTTGAACCAAATAAGCGAGAATCCAAATGATTGCGAATTTATTTCGCTTATAGAGATATCTGTCAAGCTCACGTTCTCATTATTCTCTCTTATAGAGGTTTCTCACTTATACAATTTAGAATGTATTCAAATATGTAATACATTTATACTTACAGACATCGTTTTGAAACAAACATGTTAAATAAAAATAGCATTGATATTTACCTGGTGCACATTTGGTCAAAATAGTGAAAAATACCCAAGCGCCAAACTCATAAGTATAATTAGGACATGAAACGTAATTCAAAAGCAGTGAGAATGGATTTCCGTCGGGCATAGGGATGCGTCTCACTTTGGTACCAGGAGGACGAAGATTCTTTAGCAGCAAATGAATGCTCAAATTGCCTAATTCGCATAACTGCAAAAAGAAAAATATATTTGTCACATTCTACATGTACTACTGAGTTGCTCAAGCCTAAGTCAGGGATGGCTAGACTTTAGTCAACTATGCTGGCCCAGTGCTTATTTGGTCCTCTTTCCCTTCCCACCCTTTTTCTTATAAGGAAAGGATGAGAAGTGGAAGTGGACTTTCCGGATGAGAGGATGCATGGAAAGGGAAAATATTTTCTTTCTGTGCATCCTCTCCTCCGTCGATTAAAGGTAGGCAACGCTTATGCAATTGCGTAAGTCTATGGGCAACGGTCACTTCGCTATTTCAGCGATTTCAGGTGGCCCCACTTGTTTGTTTGCCACCTTATGATATAAAAAAATAAAAAAGTGTGGATCAATTGATGTTGATTGATAATCATTGATTTCACACACATATTTGAATTTCCTTACAAGTTATTCTTCGTTATAAGAATTAAATTATCACCACAAAACATTTTAGTGTAAAACTACTAAAAAAATCAAACAAGTTTTAAAAACAACAAGAACAACTTAGCTTTGAAAGGTGTAAGGTTACAAGTAAATAAACTGGAATTATTCATATGCAATTCAATGGTAATTACTATGTAAACCAGATTGGTACTCGAATCAACTTGAAATTGTTTATTCAAGACATGTACAATATAATTTTACTATATAACACAATATATTTAAACATTATTAGCATTAAACTCAATATAGCATCAAATTATTCTAGTTGCTATGTGTAAAAAACAGAATCACTTAAATTAATATAACATTGAGTGTTTATTTACTTTTACTGTCTTTTAAAGAGTACTGGCATTAAGCTTTCATTCGAGTTATGTTCTATTATTTTTTTATAGCATTATTTAATAGTTTGATAAATATAAAATGTTACTTACAACAAATCCTGTAAGACCAACATACACACAAACTTTGCAGGGTGCAGTGAAGAGTGGATGATTCACATGGTAGGCGATGTAGAGAGCAAACAGCCAGTAATATGTGCAGTTTTTGAATAAGTTCCGAATCGGCATAGTACCATGTGAGAAACGGTGGACAAAAACTGTCTCCAACAGTCTTTTAGCATAGTGGAAACTCCAGCACATAGCCGCTATACTGAAAAAGTTAATATTTTAATAATATAACCTGCATATTAATTTTATAGATAAGAAATATGGTAAAATTTTGCAAAATTTACAATTAACTAGCTTAACTAGGAAACTACTATAATTAGCTATTAAGAGATCATTTTATTAACAAGTACATACTTAGCAACAGTTCCTGGTGATGATGTCTGTTCTCCATATAAGATCCATGGCCTTTGATAAACCCAAAGATATACAAATAATGGACCTGCATATTCAGCTAAAAATACGTTTTTATAAGATATCTGTGGACCAAGGTCCGCTACATAGAGCTTGGAGCCATCTTGGATATTCAGCGATTTAAGGGTAGTTTCGTCCTTAAGTGACTTTCCTTTGGCTTCCGGTTTGATGGCTTGCCTTTCAGGGTATAGAGATTTTTTAAGGTTTTGATAAATTTTTTCTTTTACATTTTGTATAGTGGCGTCGTCATTCAATGTTATTTTGCCGAGAGACTTTGACCCCACAGTGGTCAATATTTCAATCTGAAATCGTCCTCAGTTAGTTTTTGAACTGCATTTTTTATAGTTTGACATATAATATAAGTCTTACCTCCATCTTCGATTAATATCGGCGTTTACTGATCAAGTAATATTTTGCTTTGATATTTTTTTTTCGGTCGTTTTTAAAATAAACACGACCCAAACGATCCAAGACTACTAGGATTGTGATTAAATGAATAAATTAAAAGGGAAATTCCGGCTTAACCAACTTAGACTTTGAACAACACAACACCCTTCATATTTTTGACAACTGATTGATATTGATTTTCATTACACGCATTTTAAAAATTTAATTTGAGCTACGATCTATATTTTATACAAATTAAAAAAAAAGTTACAATGAATTCCAAGAATTTTAATTGACTAAATTGATTATTTTTTGTTTTTTGATCAATATTCAATTATTTTTTTAAAACCAAATTAAATTGAATGTGTTTGAAATTGAAAGGAACGCAGTAATTGCGAAATGTGAATAATATTTAGTTGGTACTCAACTTTTGTCAAGTTCTTAGGCCAATTTCCACAAAGCAACTAGGCGCCTGATCGCGTACAACCACTATTTCAAGTTTACAGTTTAAAGAAGACCACAACTGTGACTTCTTATGTATAAGTGCATCTGTAATTTCATTAGCACTGCTCTTTTGCTCGACCCCTACATTGAGTTTATTTTGCTAAATAGCATACAAAACGAATATATTATTATTTTTAATAAGGAATAAGGGAGAGAGCAATATGTCTTGTGTAGATAGACATATGTGCATTAATGTATGAGTACTCCATCAGATGATCCCCAAAAAATTGCAAGACGTGCGGCTTGTTGGTTAGTGGAAACATAGTCTAAGTCTACAGTTGTTATTCGATCTGTGGCCTGTGTGTACTGTCATATCTTTATACCTATACAGTTGTATATGTGTAGTGATTAAATGGCGATTCGTGGTTACATTGGTATTTCATAAAAAATATCGCTCCGCACAAATTTCTTTGCAAAAATAGTGTTTATACTTATAAAATATAAAAAATGCGTTCTGTGGTAGAAATAGGGGCTAGTGTCCCTGCGTTCTTGGGAAAATTATGGAAATTGGTTAATGATTCAGAAACGAATAATTTGATTTCATGGAGCCCCGTAAGTGTTTAAGTTTACTTTTACAGTGTTATTTACTATCGCTATCAAATATCACATATGATGAAAGGTGATGCAATGAACTTTCTCAATGGAAAATAACCATAACACAACCTAAAAATTGTATGCATATTTAAGACGCAGCTGATTGTCTGCTGCGAAACTTGATAAATAAATAGTTACATGTCACGTTTTCTACCACGCAGTTCCTCGGGCGAACGTTTGTTAAGGCGAAGCACTTCAGACACATTAAGAAAGCCTTCATTTTACTATTGAATTAAAGTAATCTAAAATAAAATAATACACTTTTTACAATTACAGTCTTTATATAAAAATACAAAATAATTATTCCATTTCGAATTAAAGTTAAATTATTATTTAACTTTCTTTTTAAACAAAGTAGTTAACAAGTTTTTTTTATCTTGGTTCAAAGTGAAGGGTTCGCTATTGAGATATATGAGTAGTAGTGATTAGTTATAATGTAAATAAAAAGTTACATATGTCATTGTAACATAACATTATAAAATTCATCATGATTCTAAAAAATAAACTTGTTTTAAGGGTGGAAAAACATTTGTTATCAAAAATCAAGCTGAATTTGCTAGAGAACTATTGCCCTTATATTACAAGCACAACAATATGGCCAGCTTTATAAGGCAATTAAATATGTATGGCTTTCATAAGATAACATCTGTTGAAAATGGTGGATTAAGATATGAAAAGGATGAGATAGAATTTTCTCATCCATGTTTTATGAGAGGTCATGCATATCTGTTGGAACATATAAAGAGGAAAATTGCAAATCCAAAGTCAATTGTTGCTAGCAATGAAAGTGGTGAAAAAATATTGCTTAAGCCAGAACTTATGAATAAAGTATTGGCTGATGTGAAACAAATGAAAGGAAAACAAGAAAGTCTTGATGCTAAATTTAGTGCAATGAAACAAGAGAATGAAGCACTTTGGAGAGAGGTTGCAATTCTTAGGCAAAAGCATATCAAGCAACAACAAATTGTTAATAATGTTAGTCATTTAATGATATGAATAATATATTATTAATGAAATATTTTTATATTAATGTTTTAAAATAATTTTAGCTTATACAATTCCTAATGTCATTAGTGCAACCAACTAGGGCACCAAATGCTAATGGAAATAATGTTGGCGTGAAGAGACCTTTCCAATTGATGATCAATAATGCAGCACATGTCTCTACAAGTGATGGACCTTACTCCAGTAGAGCCAAAAACATTAAACTAGACAAAGAAGTTCCTTTAGAAGATATCAATGAAGATAACTTGGTATGTTATTATAATTTGATTTTACCTTAGTATCTTACTTATATTGTAAATGCAAATGGATAGATGTCTGTTTGAAGGTATCTCCAGAATGACTGAATGGATGTTGATGAAATTTGACATGAATTTAGAATGTTGTCTAAAAGAACATATAGGCTACAAATATATATTTTTTTAATTCAGTGTGGATGGAGTCATGGGCGACAATTAGTTGTAAATAGATTATCTTGTAGCAATTAATCTATACATCCTTTTATATTATAGGAAGATGGACCGACAATACATGAATTAGCACATGATGATGTGTTACATAATGATGCCTCGCAGGATTCTTTAGATCCAACCAACTTTGTGACAGTTGATATAACTTCAAATCCTGAAATGTTTGTGGGTCATAACTCAGGAGACCCATCATCTGCTATACAGTATCATGTCACTATGGCAGATGGTGATGAAGGGGAAACAGGTAAAATTGTTTATTAATTTAATTGATTAAGGAATTATACTTAATAATCAAAGCTTTTATTTGCGACTTTGTGAGGAATTAAAAAATCTAAAAGTAAGAGTGAAAGATTTTTTATATAAATGGACCACACAAAATATTATATAAAAATTTAAAACAATTTTTGTGATTTTGTAAAACTAATAATGATACATTTAGTATCTTAAGAAAATTATAATTGTCTTTAATTGATTGAATTTCATTGTCAATAATTATTTTGCTTTTAAGATTGGAAGCTAACATACCCTGCCAATCGCAAAAAGAGTGTGAGACCAACAAAAGTAGTGACAAATGCAGGACCTGTTGTGACATCACCGTCACCTATGATGCCATCACCTTCGCCTATAACACCATCACCCACGTCTCCAATCCCGCAGAATACTCTCGAACAACCAATTAACATTGTTACCATGACATCACCTGGTACCTCTAAGCCAAAAGAAAAAGGACACAAAAACAAAGATATAATTTCGAGTGGTAAACATCTTCTCTCTCCTAGTAATTACAACACAATAAATAATTCGGCAGACTTCAAATTGCCTGCTGAAATTTTTGCTAGCGATGACTCGGTAAGCGATGCTGGAGTGACATCCACTGATGATTTTACTATAAGGAATATAGTCCAAGATGCGGTACAAACTGAACCAACAGTTTCCATGTCCAAAGATGAAATGCTCGGTGGAGTAAACATTAAAGTTGAAAAATCCTTGCAAAATTCAAAGCCATCAAAGAAAACGAAGAAAGCAAAGAATAATGAAGCAACCGATTTAAACTTGGCTGATATAAAGACTGAATTACAGGATTACTTTGATTGGAACAACATGACTCTTGCTACGGTGAACAATAATACAAACGTTAATAGGTTCCAGTCCGTGTAAGTATTTAGAGTTAACCAAACACATTTACGCCCTTTTATTTATAAACAAAAAAAATATTGCTATTTTATATTACACATATTAAAAATGTGGAGATTTATTTTACCAAACGTAAAATCCATCCCAGGCTATTCTTATTTATTTCAATATTTATGTGTAATTTCAATATTCAGGTATAGAAGAGATAACATCGCCAAAAATCAAGATGAATTTTCATCCCACTTTGGATCCAATTCAAACAAGTATGTGATATAAATGTCAAATAATGTAAACTTGCTACAAAAAGCAAATATTAACAATTATATTTATGGGCTTATATTGCTCTTTTCACTATTACAGTCTAGCTGACAGATGTTCCTCCATCACTAAACCCCTGTATTAGCGCCATAGATAATTTTTATTTGGGAAAATGTCTCAATATTTTGTTATGAATACTTAGATTGCAGCTTTTATTTTGTTTTCATATGTATTTTATATTTCCAGTAGGAATTTACAAAGTACAATAATATTATACATAAATATATTTTGGTATGTTTATAGTTATATAATATTTATCAAATTATTTATTTTTAAATAATGTAATATTAATAACACTATATAAATCTAACTTTCTTCAAAAATACAACGAACTCTAAAAGCAAACTTGTAAGCAAAAACGACATTTACATAAAATAACATTCTTGAGATTTTTATATTGTAGTCACATAGATTGCATAATAATAAATACATTATTTGCAGGAACGACATAGATGACCATTTGGATACAATGCAAACTGACTTAGATTCCTTAAGAGAACTCCTACGAAGTGACAGCTATTCCTTGGATACAAACACTCTATTGGGGGTATGTTTATTAAATTTAAAAAAATCAATAATTTCGCAATAAAAAATCTTTTTTTTATTCAATGAGCGTTATTTGAATAAAACAATATGGTAAGTATTTCGCGCCCTAAATTCGAATTGTTGTACGCGTCAGTGTGTGTGAGCATCTGTAGAGGCACACAAGCGCGGCTGCCGCGTAGCGACACGGGCGTTTGGCGGCGTGCGGTTGGCAGCACTGCGCCAGGTCACGTTGCATTCAACGTGCTGGGCGCGCGTGTAAGGCCTTGTGCTTTTACTGTCACATTTTATACCGCGGCGGCCGCGCCGACTCGGCCACGCAATGCCTCGTTTATATTATAATAATTATCGTTGATAACGAATTCATTTCACTTCTGTAGTCGCGTTCTGGATTCGTATGTCTTTGATATTATTTAGACATAGCATTGATATTGTTTTCTATGTTAGAACTTAATTATAATTATTAAAAAGTATGTTACATTATAACTTGTATTGTCCATAGAATGCTGATGCAGGCGTAGAACCTGCGATGTCTCTCGTCATTCCATTTCATCAGCACACCATGAATGACTATGTAATTTCTTGATATAAATTCAACTTAATTAAACTTAATATGAAAAATAAATAAATTCATTAAATAATAGTAATATTTTAACGGGAACTATTTGTGCATATCGTAAATAATAATAAAATTAATAAATATATTTATATGATAGAAAATTTAATCGGCCATTTGTTATTCATAACACAAGTGAATTAAATTAAGATTTACTACGAAATAAGGATTTCTGCACCAATCAATCAATGCAGCAATCATTTAATAATGTAGATGGGGTGCGTACACTTATCGTAGTCGATTTTCTTGTAGTAGATTTGAAATTTATTTACAACTATGTATAAATTACAATTTTTCTAATGTTTCCAGTTGTTCGGCTCCGAAGATCCTTTCTATGGGCTGTCGTTTAATCCGAGTGAGGAGAGGGCAAAGGCCAACAATAATGGTGAGTTAGAAAAATATTTCTCTAATTAAAAGGTTCTATATAAAAAGGTTTAATGCACTCTTAATATAGTAACATTTTCATAATTGGTTTTTAAATTAGGTCAAAGGTATATTATGGATTCTTGGGTACAGGTTAGTTATAACTAATAAGTGAAAACTTGTAAGGAACTTATAATGTTATAAAAGTGAAATTTTACGTTTATGTTAATTGTAGATACAACAAAACAATATCCGATGATTGATTATGATTGGCTGATCAGTGGCGGTGATAAGACGCCGGCATAGACCTGCAACCTCATTGCAAGCAAACATCGACAATTGTTTCATTATGGATTGTTTCGTTTATTTGTTGAATGACGTACTATTCCTTTCTGAAACCAAAACCTATGTTCATATCGTCATCTCTGTCGTAATCTTTGATAAAACAGAGATTACAATATTTTTTAAACTGGGATTTTGGTGTCAGAAACCCACGGGTAGTTATTTCTCCACAGACTATGATAGTGTTTGTTGGAACATCCATATTTAACAATACTGGGATATTTGGAACGTTATTTTTAATTTAAAAATAATAAATAAGTTGATTTAATTTCTATACTATTAGTGCAAAATAACATAACCAAAGTTCTTTTACCACAGCTTATTTACAATAAAATACATATACATATCTAAGATTGTTGTGTGACTTATGTTATTGTGCACGCATAGTATGTAAGATTATAGCTTGTAATCGATCGTGATTAGACCTGAGGTAGTTATTTTAAATATATATTTTTAATACAACCTCAGTAATTAATTATTTAATTGTTAAGATGGGCAATAAAACTGGAGTAAACTCATTATTTACGCATATAAAATAATTATTATTCATATATTATTTGCATAAGATATATCTACTATTCTATTAATTCAATATTAAATAAATTAAACGGATTTTGTAAAAAATATATATTTTGATTCGTTCGACAAACAATTATCTTTTATGGGAGTTCGATAAAGTACAATCGCTCCGAAGCGATTCCATAATGAACTTCAAAGTTTTATTAAACTAACAAAAACTTTCGTTAAGTCACGTGATTGTCGTACGTCAGTTCCATACATTTTTGAAGTTGGCTTTGGAACCGTTTCGAATGTATTTTGTCTAACTGTTCAGATGGGTCAATATGTTTGTAGTATAAGTATTTCATTTGTGTAATAAGGTGTTTAACAATACTAATCCTGTGAAATATATTTTTTATGAAATGAAGCAAAGAAGAAAGGTGATATATCGAATGTAAGCGGTGAAGAGAATCGCGCCCAGAGCCAGTGTTCTGAGGACGATGGTACTCATTCTGATTTTAATCCGGTTGTTTTATTGACGCCTTTAGTTTCTTTATTAGCGTAGTTTTTTTTAGTTTATTTTTTAATGTGTAATTTTGCATGTTGTTCATATATTTGCCTATTTTTGTATTATATGTATTTTTATGTAGCTTTCTTTTACACATTTGATGAGTTACAAATCACTTGATAAATTCTTGTTCTTGTCTTGTTATTGCTACAGCATATGTTTGTCTATGGTAAATACTCGAGACTATTAAGTGCTTTTGCCTATTTTTGTCTATGGATGATTATTGCACTTTTATTCCTTGTATTTGTCATACAAATGGTAAGTTTTAGTTTTGACCTATTTGTTGCCTTAAAATCTAGTTTTTTTTTTAAATACAAATAATGATGATGCTAACATCTAGTTATTGTAATTTGTTATTAATTAGAAAGCTACATAAATAACATTAAAGTAGAGACAATAATGCTTAGTATATAAATTTGGATGTAATGGGTACGTATTGTAATTTATTTTAATTATTGAAAGCTATTTAAGTTTATAATTATTTTATATATGAAAATGCATGAAGCACGTTTTTTTTTTCGAAAATAATTGGTGAAGAAAGTACCTACATAACTTAAAGTTTCAAGATGGCTGGAAACATCTTTTGGTATAAATATTTAATACAGATATTAAGGTAAGGCTGTTGATTTGAGCTTAGCGTATTACCCGCAGTTGTAAGCGAATTACAAAAGTGATTATTTGAAAGTATCAAGTGGTTGTGTGTAATTTTGGATGATACTGTGTCGTCGTGACGCATACCGTCGCTCTCCTACAACGGGTAACATATCGACCTGTCCGACAAAGTTACATCTCTTATGGAATCTCTGAAGATATGTAGCTCTTTTCGTCTGATGGGTCGGTGTTGTGATTGCAAATTTTAGCCTTTTAGTTGTCATATTTTATAATTTTAATTGCATCAAATCTCAAGCTTAATTGGATATTTTATGTAAACATTATTACTATATTACAGTCTATATATTTGTATACAAAAATATATTTTGTTGCCCTGTTTAATACAAAACCGTTGGTTTCTGAGACCAAAATCTTTGTATGAAACATATCGTCGTCCCTGTCATTGTCTTTGACAAAACAGAGATAACAATATTTATTTGACGGGGATTTCGGGACTCAGACACCCTCGGTTAGTAATGTAATTCGGTGTGGATATATGTGTGCGGCTGTTTGTAAGTTGCTTACAAATTATCTTATATATTTTATATATTGCCAGCACAGACGACTTCATACTTTTTTTGTAATATGATTCACTAACTTTTGGGAAACTTTCAGCTGAAGGGTATCAGCTTATCTCGTATACAGGGAATATTCCGTATCTTGAAGATATAAATCTTCCCGAGTTGGAGGGGGATAGCTCTCAGGAGGCTCCACTTTCGGTGGCGCCGAGCCCCAGCAGTTCCACGCTCAATACACCGCGTGTTGACATAGAGCATACTCCGAGACCCTGAGGTACCGCCAAAAAACACCGCAGGAAAAAGCCCGAGTGACTTTAAACAATACTTATAAGTGTATTTAAAGTGAAGTTTTTTTGAATACGTGTTGCGTGTTGATTTATAATTATGTATATAATATTATACAAACTTAATATCAAATAACAAACCGAAATATTAATTGATTTATTAATGTTATGTACTACATGAAATATAGGTGTCTTACGTACATTGTAAAGCTTATGTGCTTGTACAAAGGTAGTTTTGTAGGCGGATGACTTATTGCACGGAGTCTTGTTATTGTGCACTATTTGATAACATCCCGCTCTCTTTATAACAAAGACTTTAAAATACCGTTATCGACTTATCCTTTATGAATTTTTATATCAAATATTCATGAAACTTTGATTTTTTTAGTGTGTGGTTTTAAACAAAGAGGTAACATGGTAACATTATCATGAGGAATTTTATCATGTTTGCAGCCGACAAACCGCAATTTCGTATATTGTTTTGCTGGTACAAAATTGTACAATTTTTTTTATTATACATAAATATTTTTTAAACTATTGAAGGTTTTCATTACAAGGCAATTATTTAAACCAAGGATGATTAATTATTTTGAAACTTAGTAAATTGATACCGCAAATAGTTCACACTTTTTTAAGTTTACGCGTTTAGAAAAATTTCAGTATTTAGAACCTATTTAGAATTTTTGATTACCAGACTTAAACGTAACAAATTATTTCTTTTGTTTTCTAACCGTGGATTAATTAAAAATTGTCTTTGTTTATGTACGCATTTTTACCGCAAAGGAAACGGTAAATTAATTTGATTTTCTATGCAAAAAATCACACAACATGGGGTAGGCTCCGAGCCCTTCAGTGGTGAAGTATAGTGAGCTGATGATGATGCAAAAAAAAGTTTTTTCACCTAATAACAGGACAATATATCAATTTAATGAAATTATAACTAAATAACAATCTTTACTGTTGGTTTCTGAGACCAAAATATACATTTAGAACATATTGTTTTCTCTGTTGTTGTCAAAGATGACAGGGATGATGATACGTTTTATACAGAGATATTGGTCTCAGAACCCTGCCTCTAGCTTGTTTATCTTATAAACGATATCATAGCTGGCTAGATAATTAAGTATAATATAGTCACATATATCTATTACTGGTGCCTTATAAACAATATTAGAGTAAAAAATGCTAATATGTAAGTTATTTTCTCAACAAAATAAAGAATAACTGGTACTAATATCGATAATTTCTTTTAATCTTTTCGTTAATTATTTCTTTAAGAGGCAATTTAAGTGCTGACTGATGTAAATTAAAAATTTTTGTTCGAGACATATGGAATATGCGAATTATTATGTACATACATATATATTATTTATTTCTTTTTGTATACATTTGTAATTATAAGTGTAAAGATTTACTATAAGGAGGTATCAATTATTCTCAATTATTAAGGTGCTTTTCCACTGAAGAGAAGGGTTTGATGCATCAGTGAAAACGTTATCTATCTTATGATTTTGAAATATCATATATTTTATGTGATATCGCCGCAGCGCATTTTTATTATTATATATTATATAAAATAGTAACACATAAATAGCTTTCTATATAACGATATTGATATGTCAATGATTAAAATGATTTACGATGATTGCAAAGTTCACATATTGTTATCTTTGTTTTTTCAAAGAGAAAGAAAGGGATGACAATATATCTTTTCTGTAGGTGTCAGTTTCTACATGTCCGTTTCTATGCTTTATCATTTTTAACCATCGTTATTCCTTAGATTAAATGGTGTGCTGATGAGTGTGACAGGGTTTTAAGATAGTATAAGGGAATTGTGTATCGTAGGCTTTTGCCTTTCTGGAAGTGGCAAAAGAGTGTTTAGAACTAGACTGGATATTAATCGAGAATGATAATGTTACCCATACCCATTAGCGTGCAAGTATCCATAGATTTTTTTAAATTTTTTATAATAACACAACAGCTGATGTTAAGAGGTAGTTTAGTTAGACTGTATGCTTAACCGTGGGTTTCAGAGACCAAAATCTCCGTTTAAAACATTTTGTTATCTCTTTTGTTTTTAAAAGATAAAGAAAGAGATGACGATATGTTTTATACAAAGATATTGGTTTAAGACCAACGGTAAGATAAATTTTATATGGCTCTAAAGCGAAGAAATCTATAATTTTTGCCTATTTGCACGGATGTGAAGCTCTTATCTAGTTTTTTTTAACGTTTAAAGTCCCACATTAATGATATTGTACAAATTTTTACAATATGAAAGATTTTAATTATGTTTTTGCCATAATTATACAGACTGACATATGAATACTATAATACTAAAGTTAATTATTTACCAACGTGAATTATTTTGTACACTGATCTGGAAAAAAATGTAACACTTGATACTGTATGAAAAATGTGCAATTTATGTTAACTCATCATAACTCATGACACTGATGCGATAAGATTAAAAAAATACATGTATTTAAATGTAAATAAATTAAATATGGGCATGTATATAATTTTATACGATGTTAAAAAATTGCTTCAATTTTTCCGTTGTTATTGTTATACGAGTAATGTTACTCTCTTAAATTGTTATTGTAAATCTGTGTAAAGATTATCGTTACAAATAATATGGAAATTTGTGTAGAATTTGGTGGAAAAATGCAAATTACTGACTAAGTTTTTGGCGCTAGTCATTTCTTTGAATTGCGCTACGAAAAATAGCAATTAACAAAATCTGTGCTTGTATCGTTATATTTTAAGTACCACATAATTAGGTTTCATTGTATTATAACATTTTTTATGAATTACGAACAAAGTTTTTGTTTTTAAGTTAGCTTATAACTTACCTATGTAAAGAAATACTTATAAGTTATTTTTAATGTAATAAAAGATTGTATACACAATATTTGTTTTTTTTTAAATTACACCCGACTTTTACAGTGTGTTCAACGTAGTCGTTTACCTTATTTTGTTGACCTTTAATATCACTTATCAAGAGGTAACAAGTGACAGGTAATTATTGGAATAAATGACGAACCAAAAATGGTGCGTCCGACGTTTGAACCTTGCAATTCATCGTTTTGTCACTTACTAAAGTCATCTTGAATGTCGATTATTATGCCTTGCTAGAGTTTTTCTGAATGTGTGTAACGCACTGATTAAATATGATCTAAAAAAAAATTAGTAAACTTTGCATAGTAATCAAGTTTGCTATTTTTACTCAACAGGCGCCTGGCTTTTAATCATGAATTTCAATGAAAAGTCTTGTTAGAGCAAAATATTTTTTAATTGTACTATGATTTATCACTCCACATATACTGTTATCACAGTTTATTAAAATATCACAATCATAGAAAAAAAAACGGCATAATTCATAAACGAAATTATGACCGTTACAAAGTTACAAGCATTATTAGTACTGCTTACCAAAACAAGTGAGTTATAATTTTAATAAGCAAATGCAAATCATTGTAAATATCAGTAAATAATCTTTTTATAACTCAAAATAATAAATGTTAACATAAAAATACAAAGTAACAACAATTAAACAAATACATTTTTTTATCTTAAAGTTATCACTTTTGTTCACTGATTAATATTCCAAACAAAATATTTTGATTGCAATTTAACACAAATTGCTTGCCTGACCCTAGAAAGGGCCTGAGAAGTTCACCTATAAAAATAGATATCAATACACACCAACAGAAAGTCTGCAATGGTATGTAATACATTTTTTTCTAACCTATTACACATATGGACTGCTTTTCTTCAGTGGAATCGCACGGTTTACAACACATACACATTTTATATTGTAAAATACAACGGAGAAGTTTATATTCCAGGTTAGTATACTTTTCTATTTCATACAGAATAATACCCCATTTATTTATTTTTATTTTAATTAAGAATGACTAAAATTGACCTACTATGTTTTGTTAAATTTGTGGCTACATAGGTGCACTCATTTTCATGATTTTTTTAAAACCATCATTTTTGTAATGCTAGATAGCTACAATTATAAATTAGAATTATAAGTCAAGTTATAAATATTGTTTATATAATCTATACTAATATTATAAAAAAGAGGAAAGATTTGATTGTGTTTGTTTGATTGCATTGAATGCACGGAAGCTATTTATTAGCTTATTATTATCACTGGGTGATGTAGCCCACATTTATTATTAGATTTTGTTAAATCCGCGCAGACGAAGTCGCGGGCAACTGATAGTAATTTATAATTCATGTACATTTACACCGCCTCGAGACGTCGCACAAGTGAGACAGATTCACTGGACTGCTGAATTAAAGGTCCTATCACAGTTCAATGTAAGCGTAGCTTCCTCATCAATGATGGTAAAAATGTTGGTGCTGGTGATCTGTTCTTGACAGATTCCGTGATATACGGTCCCGGCTTAGTCATGAGCACGGTATGCAGTGTTGGCAGGGCTCCGATAGCACAGGCAAGCTCCGGAGACATATATCTGCAGCCTTGGACATCTAGAAACTTGAGCTTCTCACAATGTGTTCTAATAGCCTCTAATGATCTATCAGTGAGTTGATTGCAACCCTGGAAATTAATAATACATAATTAACACTTATATTTTCTCAAAGTTTCTAATTTTAGATAAAATTGACCTATGTGTCACTAGTGTTTAGAAACAAACAGTGTATTTCACTTGAAGGCCAACATTAAGATAAATGAAGTAAAGATAATTTACATACATATGTTTAAGTGAATGTTTTGCATATTTTTAATTCCAGGTGACAACAGTGACAAACTTTTTTTATTGTTAAAAGATACTAAAATGACTTACCCGTAATTCAAGTGTTTGTAATCTTCTTAATCCTTTTACGATTTCCGTAACTGCATCGTCCTTTAAATTATAGCAATCAGTTAAATTGAAATATTCTATACTCGGACAGTTTCTTACCAAATGTCCAACGCCTTCATGAGTTATTTGTTGGCATCTACTGAAGTTCAGATTGACTAACTCTTTGAAGTTAAACGCATATCTTAAACTTACATCAGTCATTCTATTACAACCACTCATATCTAGTTCTCTAAGATGTTTTAATCGTGCCAAAGAGTAACCCGTAAATGAATCCATTGTTAATATATTTTCACACATTTTCATAACATTTTTTTTTCTATTCGCATCTCGTACTATCTCTTCTTCAGCTCTTGAGCCTAAATGTATTTTCTGATGTGTTGGAGCTTCATCATAGTTGGACATTATCGGTGAATCATCATTACCATCTTGCTGTAACTTGCCCATCCCAGTTAAACCTACATCTGACACTTTGTCACAATGACTGATTTTCAAAGTGTGTAAGAAAACTTGATTTTTAAATACAACTTGTATAGATGCGTCTGTTACAGCATTGAAACAGTAACTTAAGTCCAACGATCGCAAATTTGGCAACTTCTCTGATAACATTATAACCCCAGTTTGATCCAAGTTTAATGAGTGTATATCTAAATCTTCTAAAACTGTATTCTCTTCAGCACAGATACCTTTTCTAAGTCCTTCTTTTGTTATCAATTCGCATTGTGAAATATTTAATATCTTCAATTTTTTTAATTTGTGTAGTTCCGATATACCTAAGTCAGTAACAGCTCTGCATCTTTGTATATTCAAATTTTCTAGATTAATTAAATTGTTACAAATGTGAACTAAAGATTGGTCAGTTACTCTAGTACATAAACCTATGTCAAGCTCTTTTAATGTAACCTGATGTGTAGTGAGAGCCAGTATACCCGTATTAGTCAGCTGATCACAAGAATGGACTTCCAATGTATTTAATTCAAGGTTTACGGCTTCTGATAATGATTTTAAAGCAGCACCATCTATTAGAGTACTTGAAAACTGCAGAGTTTTTATACTTTGAGCATGAGAAAGTATAAATTGTAATACAAAGTAAAATGTTAACACACTCTCCGATGGATTCTCAAATATGTTTGTTCCACTGGGATAAAATTTCTTTACTAATCCCAAATGAAATTGCAGTGAGCAACCCGATAAATTTAAATGTTCAAGAGCTGGAGCAGCTTTCACAAAACGGCTAAACAATGCATCCGTAAGGTACTGGTTGCCGGAGAGGCTTAATGACTTTAAATTTTCTAGATTATTTACCAACAAGCCATCGGTTTTTCCTTCTAGTAGACGGCCAGACATGAAAAGATCTTTGCAGCTCTCAATATTTAATGATTCTAAATTTGGACATTTCTGTAGAATATTCACAAACACCTTTTCACACATGTCACAATTTTTAAAAGTTAAGCTTTTAATGTTTTCTCCTGTCCTGTCCCAGAATCCATTTAATTTACTTGATATTTCCACTTCATTGAATAAGTAGTTAGTGTAAACAGAAGCTGAATTCTCAAAGATGCTCAGATTAGATGAATCCTCATCACTGTTTATAGATTTGTACAAAACAACTACTTTATTCTTTAAGAAGCAATAGGCATTAGCAGCCAAATACCAGGATCGACATGTCTCACTTGCACATTTTCTGTCTGACTTTGGTAGATATTTGAAAAGGTAAACTAATACCTGCAATATATAAAATTGTTAACATCAATAACTATTTTAAAACTAATTAGGCAGCAAAAATAATTATAAATTAACAAAAACTTGTTTTCTAACTTAAATCCAACTGTAATAATAAGCTAATACGTTTATAGAATTAATTTTGGAAAATGATACAGTATTTGCAATAATAATATTTATTTACTTGGTTTGGTAATCTGAGATACAAGAATTTTTATTAAAAAAGCCATCATCATATATTTTTATTATAAAGAAAGACAAATAAAGGTCAAATGTTTTGATTTCCGAGAGAAAAATACCTATCAGGAAGATATCAATCACGTGAAAAAATGATATAAAAGGCAGACAAAGAAACCTTAGGATTAGTAATTTACGATTAAATCAGTCAACTTACTTCGAATGGTAATTCCATGTTTAAATTTATAACAGCACAATCTTTTTAATTTAAGTATGGAGCACTTTACATTATTCGATGGAAATTTAGGACTAGATTTATTTAATATAATTTAAAGTTCAATGGCAAATTTGAAGTTTATGGCCAAACATATGACATTTTGCTGATTTGACAAACAAGATGTAAGTGACCTTGAATTTGTCATATGATTTTGAAGTTTGTAAACAGATTACGTAAATTACGTTTCGTTATATGATTAATATCTAAAATTGTTCACGGTTAAAAAACATTTTTTGGAAAAGTTACGTATAAAGTAATTATAGAAATGTTTATTAAATAATATATAGTAATTTGGTAGAAAACTATTAGGCGAAACGACAAGTGGGAGAAATTCGAATTTCTGTCAAATGCGGCGCAACCAAAATGCAATGAATCGCGCTAGATGAACGCGGGCGTTTGTCGCTAATGCATTCTTGCAATCCGATGAATGCTACAAAACTTAACTTAAAAGCAAAGTTCCTTTGCATTTTAAAATATTTTTTTAGTAAAAATAATTTATAATTACATTTTGCTTTTGTCTCCTTTATGGCGTATGTTATAATACTCATAAAATCCATTTTAATAACACTAATATTTGTAAAATACAAAAACAAAAACTACGCCAGACTGGAATATGAAACGAAAGATTTGTCAAAAACCGGTCAGTTGTTTAGGTAGGCTACAGACGATTACAATGGAACTTACATTGTAATCGCCTGTAGCCATTACAATGTAATGGCTAAATAATTATATGAATTTATTATTCATATAATTACATGAAAAACTTACATAGAAGAAGAACTCTTCCGAGTTAGTCGGGTAAAAATAAGTATTTTTACTAAATTTCTTGGCTTGTGTATAGAAAAAAGAGTACATGTATCGTAAGAATCACAAAAAATATTTCGTTCTTAAAAGATGCCACATATGGCGGTCGAAATTGTACAACGCACAACCAAACTTAAAAGCTGACTTAACAAAAATATTGTTTTGTTATCAGTGTGTACTCAGCTTAGCACGTAGCTCGCAAGAAGTGAATTGGCGGCATCACGATCTTACGCAGGAGTTTGCGCGGTTACAATATTGTTTGGTGCCACTTGTTGGGCGCCAGGAAGCTCAGTAAGCGCGGGGTGCGCTTACCGACCGCCCTCCTATCACGCGGCATACACGTTTCCCGCCATACTTTTACGATAACTTACGCGCTAATCCCTCAATGTTTTGTGTTGTGACAAACGTGATGTAAACAATTTGAGAATTATCATGTGCTTGGATGCTTAAGTGTATACGGAAGCATGTCACGAAGAAAACAAGCAAAACCAAGATCTCTGAAACGTGAGTTATTGTTTACTGCTAATATTTTGATTAGCTGGACCTAAAAATGTTAATTATATAAAAGATCTAATATTACTAATAAGATTCTAATAGGAATTGTGACTTATTATGATTAGGATATTTGTGTAGTTTTAATTGAATACTTAAGTACTTACAATTTGAGAAGTACTAAGGATTCTCTTATTGCAATTAAAATTGTAAAGAAATAACGCATACAAATATTGGTTTTGTAAGCAAATTATTGTAGTTTATTAGACGGTAGTATAGTTTAGACTTCGGAGTCCGTACTTACTGTTAAACAACTAATTAGCTATACATACTTAACTATAACTTATCGATTATTAATTACCAATAAGGTATACCAAAGTACTTGGAGTAAAGAACTCAAACTATAATATATTTGGTAGAAATCGTAGGTTTTGTACATTAATAACACATGGCAATAAATATAATGTTTATTTTAACAGTAAAATCCGATATAAGGGTTTTTACTAGCATTTATTTATTTAGAGAGAGTCACTCCGTTAATATCCTGCACTTATAAGAACATCGTATAGTTCTCAAACAATATGTAATTTTCAAAAGAATTTAAAATAAGTTTGTTTGTTTTTTTCATTTGATTTAAAACTTTAGTATCAGGGAAATCAATAAGCGTGCTGTAATTTTTAAGCACTTTATATTTTTATATTACAACGAACTAAAATAATAAAGTTAAGTTGTTAACTCTTGTAAACTGACTTATTGTTCTTTTATTTGAGACATTGAAGCTATAACTATAGGTTCCACGAAATATTTAGTCATATTGTAGAGCATCATATGAGCCGTTACAGAATTATTTCTTAAGAAGTCTTTTTGTATAAGCTTTTGAAGCGGTTACTTGGTCGGTTTTAGGTAATTTTGGTGGAAAATATTTTGCAATGTACAATACCTACGTTCTGTTTGGAGAGCACCAAAAGATTGTTATTTTCTTTCGATTCTTTATCTTCACACACTTTTGTCTTGCATGCAAAAAATTTACAAAACAAAATAGCTCTACTGAATCAAATGACACTTCACATTGTTAAAATCGGTCAATGATTGTACGACGACGATTAAACGATGTACTCGTGTGTACGTATAGATTACGCTTGCAATAGCGTCGCAGTTTTAGCCATGCTGTGTAATTAATGGTGGGACGTGGGCGCGCGAGCCGCGTCGTGCGTGATGGACGCGCTGCGACGGCCGCCCGGCTGCCGGCCTGCTGCGGCCGCGGCTGCATAATATCAGTGCTTCGTCAGTGCCAATGCCCGCCTAAGCCGGCCTAATGTCCACCAATGTTTAGCCTAACTCATTTGTTTCAAACCACTAGTTTTAGACAACAAACGCTTTTACGGTTTAGAATAAAGTGGACCCCTTTAAGACTGATCTCTGTTCAATCAACACCCCTTGCAATCTGATTCACACAATGGACGTTTATTTTGACAACTTCTACCTATAAATCGGTAATAAAAACATCATAATTCGTCCTATAAGACTTTATCATGTCTTCATTTAGTTTAATAAATTCTATATCTTAAGTATGTCATCTAATTAATTTGAGAATTGAACGCAAGGTTTCTTAACCAAAATAATAGAGTTACCTTTTTTTTTTCAATCTTTTATTTTGTCTATTCACATTTTTGACTGTGACACGATTAACTATTAAGAGTATATCATAGAGCTTTAATTTACATTCAATGGGTTCAGTTAGTCAGATGACTACGGGTGAACGGGTGCGATGTAATGTTGTTAACTTAAGGTATCGATCCCGCACTCTAGTACTTCCGTAATGCGTCCCGCGGGGAGAGGCTCTATGAGTCTCAGGGTACTCTCGGGTACCTAATGCCTCGCTGCCTCGTGCACTACCTACCTAGTATATCTATAAGCTACGGGTAGGGGACCATAGACGGTAGTGGGATAATCCCACATATTACTTGTAGTCGTATCACATTGCATTAAATACTAAAAGACATCTGTTCGGTCGGGTAAAATGGAGTGAGACCCTTTTTCTTATTAATATTTGAGGTTCAAAATAAGAAATCGATTACAAACTTCTTGAAATCGTAAATGAAACAACAAAGTTCAAAATTGCAACATTTTATTAAATGGGAAATTATAAAATAGACAATTATTCTTAGTTAATATCTATTTTTATTAGTGTGAACATTACATCTGTTTATTTTATGATTTACGTATTTACTTATTTTGGTGTGCTATAATTGAATGGTTAAATAGCGCGATCGCGCCCCCCACAAAAGATAAGTTATCAGTAAAATATTTCTATTCTTTGATTTCGGTAATTTCAAAACGTATTTTCAGGAATTGGTACATCTGAGTACGAACTGTGAGCCTCCGCTCACAGGGGTCCAATAACACGTCAATTTAAGCCGCCATACCTCATGTTGGCGAATTAAAATTTCACATACAATGAAAATGTTAATCCCCTGCCGTCCCAAGTAGACTATAAAAACAAATTGCCGTGTCTTGAATTGTTTTTTACCTTACACTTGACGCCCGAGAATAATTAAACTTAATGCGGTTTAAACCATATTTCACGTGAAGGTTATACGAGCCAGTGAGGCTAAAGGCAACGGAGCGCAAAACGCTAATATTATCTTAATTTTTCACAAATATTTCACGCAACATTTAAGCTCCGCACGGACATTCGTAAGCTCTTTGAAAAGGGTCAATTCGTGCTGGCTTTATTTATCAACTTTTTCACTTAACGTGTCCGTCTGGTATTATGACGCGTAAGTCTTTTTGATGTATTCTTTATGTGCTTATATTATGTTTCAGTTGTAAATAAGCGAATAGAGGCTTGTGACAGGCGAGGGTGAACGTTAAGGGTTAAATCAATGAACAATAGACGGGCAGGTAATTATATTATTTGGCAGATCCTGACGGGCTGAGTTGTTACGTGAGACGATAAGAACTTGATGGGTACGCGGGGTAGGGGGAGGAGAAATAGCTCGGGAGGGCGGAGAGGGGCGCGGGGTGCTGTGCGTCCATAAAACTTGTAGAGGCCCCGCAGAGAGTCGCCGGGAAATTTCCCCAGGGCGGCGCGCACCCCCGCCCCGCGCCTGCGCTCCCCGCGCCCCGCACCGCTGGGAAATACGCCAAAGCCATATCATAACAGTTTTATGTTGACGTTGACCTCTCATCTGCGGACTGGACGCAGCCTGCGTACTAATCACTGTCATGTGAATTGATGCATAGGTTCTTATTTTACTTGATGCATTATTTATCTGTAATACTAAAGTTCCAGTACGAATCCAGAAAGCAGGGAGAAGATATCTTATAATTTTGACCTAAAGAATTAAAGCAATAATATATTAACTAATTAATATCGCGATCTTCAAGATCGTGATATTTTATCGCAATGAATTTATTTCAATTTTAGAAAAACAATTTCCTTTACATTTTCACAATATACCCTTTTTGTATTCTTATGTGATATCTTTGTATTAATTTTGTGTGTTTGAAACTTATTACAACTATTTCACACTATCGTAAAATGAAAATCTTTTCAATATTGGCGGTAAGAAGTAAACAAAAATTGTTAATGCAATCCGCTTACCCGTCGTAGCATTATTTTTTATTCGCATTCCCTGTGGGCTGCCATAAATCACTCACGTGTTTTCGTAAAAAAGCGGTAAACATTAGAGGCAACAGAGCACCGCGCCACAGAACACATCAGGTGAGCTGCGTACACCACAATGTTTGATTAAGTTTAATCCTTAACTTTTTTAAATTTAAATCAAAAAGTAATAAACACTCTGCCTATCAGTAGTCAACGTTCCACTTACTCCGCAGTGCTACGACTCGTAGCTCCCCGGACAAGGGATGGTTGGTTTATTTACGATTTTTTTTATTTGATATAATTAATTTGGAAATTCCATTCCATCTCTACATCATATTACTAGTTATCTACTCAATAAAGTTGGCTGGAAATTGAAGGCTAATTGGTGTCCCTCCTCTTTGACATTGATGACGTGTGATAGCGGCTCTAGTTTTAGATTAAAGGGATATGTTAGGGGCAGAAGTTAGTTTATGACAATAATTAAAACCATCGCTTCAGTATCTTTTTCATGTATCATCAAATGTGTTTGTTAATGTTTGGTACAAAAGCTAATTCTGCGAGTAACGTTTAATAGATATTGTTTAAAAATATCACGGTGGCTTCCCCGCTCCCGTCGGGCCCAGGTGGTGGGTAGTGGGGGGTGGTCCCTGTGGAAGTGAAGTCCTCGCCCGCCGCCGCGTCCCGCGGGACCTGGCCCAAGCAGCCGCCCGCTCCCGAGGGAACGGCCCTGCCGCACCGCACCGCACCCGCCCCCGCACCCCGCCCCGCCCCGCCGCTGTCTCTCAGGATAATAACAGACACGTTCTATATTTAATTGTTAAATTATACACATTAAAGAAACTTACACAATTCAGTTACTTATAAAGTATTTACTTGCTGATTTTGATCAGATAGATAGTTCGGAAAATAATTTTCTCTATTTACTTTAAGATTAAAACAAAAAAAAGTCCCTAAATTTGTTACAACCGTTGTCAACTGACTCCAACATCTTTGTCGTTGCTTATACCAAATATTTATTTTATGCAAACGATCTGCATTTTAATAATAAGACAAGGTGTTAAATTATTACGTATGATTCACGGTATCTTATGTGTAATCAATTGTGTATGAAAAGATACTTATCAGTATTAATCAATACACACAAAGATCCTGCCTTAGAGTTTATATTTAAAGTTCATTGCCTTATTTACGTCAAATAGAAAGTTCGTACACTTATATCATTGAAAAACGATCGTGCGGCTCGAGTCTGTACTGGAAGCGGTCACCGCAGGGATGTCGGCTGGCGAGCCCGCTCCCTCGGGAACGTCCACTAACGCCTCGGAATACATTAAAATTACTGTCCCAAGACTTGCGTATCCATTTAAGCGAAACGAGACCGTAGAGGTGACGAGGAATGGTATTATTCCTTTGTGCTCGTGTACACATATCCCTTAATCAAAGTTATTACTTATATGTAAACTGCTGCCAGCGGAATAAGTCGTTTCCTAACATAATACCGCCTTAACGACTTGTAGCAACTCTATTTCGTGTTGTATATGTCCACGTTTCTATAAGTAAGGAGTTGTATATTAAGACATTTTTCGGTAGATCGTCTGAGTTACACTTTAGGAAACAAAGCAATAAATTATGCATGCAAATTACCAAAAATAGCAAGGCAAAGACCCAAGCTTTTTTTATCGTCTATAAATATATTCATTTTTCATTATCTTGTTTACTTAAGGGAGAGTTTTAAAATAATTGTATTATAACATTGTAACATGCCGGTGTTAGCTGAGATATGACTTGATTGATAATAAGCAATTCCTTTAAACTTGTATTAGATTGTGATGTGACACTGCAGGGTGCGGGCTGCAAGATGTACGGGGTGCGGGGTGCCGGGCGCGGCTTGCACGCCGGGGCGCAATCACGCCACCCGCGTCCGCGCCCTACCTAATTATGTCGCCGAACGTTCATAATGAGGACATTACCTTTGTTCTATCAAGTGTATCTTTTTATAATTAAAATAAATTTTGCGAGACATTTTGTAATACAAATTTTCAATTTAAGCTAGCATTTTTTTTTAATTGGTACAAAAGTGTAGTCAAAGAATTTTTAATTTACTTACAAAATTCTACACATTTTTAATTGTTTTAATTTTACCAACATACATCTAAAAACAGTTAACATTAAATGCTATGATATTACATACTAATGTGAAGTCGATGGGCGAGTGTAGCACTAAATGTGTTAAGCTTTAAACGTATGCATGTCCACAATAAGCAAGCGTGTATACAGCGTGTATCAAGTCAGTGATTTCATGTCCCAGCGGGCGCGCACCTAACTCGCGCCTTCCATGTCTGCGCCATCAGCCCTGCATTATCCTAATTAGCTTTCATTTTGTTTTAATTTACCCAACATTTTTAAAATATGTTTGTACTACATGTTGTATGTCAGCTTATTATTTACATGCCAGTTGTATTTCATAAAAGATATATTTTATGTGTAAATTATACCAATTCATTTTCCGTTTAATAAAAAAAATCACTACGCTGTTCTACGATTTTCAATGAATAGTAAAACATTTAGGCATAATTTGTATCTGTTTTATAACATAATACGGCAAATTATGCACGTAATAATAAAAAAATTTATAATAGTATTCAGCCTTCTTTGTGAAACTAACCTAACGGAAAAGATTCGTTTGTATATTTTAAATGATTTTGTATCGGTTTAGGCGTAAAAGATCGTCCGTGGCTTTGTATACATATGTAGTAGAAATAGATTTTTACTTTATCCCCAGGGCGTCGCCTCTCTCTGGGATAAAAAGTAGCCTATGTGTTAACTGAGAATATTTTAACTTCGGTTTCGCTGGATCTGGAATAAATTTATTTCTTTCAATGTCCTTAGAGTTAAGCTTAAAAATGTTTTGGTAAACTAAGTTCTACAAAATGTATTTTTGTAAACTAATGCAGATATTATTTTAAAAATAAAACGTTATCGAAAAAATAAATTTAGTAACTATCAGGACTACACTTAAAAACCGTGGTTTATCCTTATTAAACATTTTTTATATCTCTGACAAAAAGCAGAATGCGTTACCAGAACAGAGCTGTGAAAAAATCACGAGTATGTAATTTCTATTTTTTAGGTTAGCCATTAGCGTGGTTATAGTAGAGTCAGGTTATCTCAAAGGTTTTCCTTTCAAGTTATTATTAGAATTATTAAACGTGCAGTATCCCACACATTTGCCAAATTCGAAAATATTGTATCAATAAAATTATCATAACGGTGTACAGGGCGGTATTTGGCTGTTTTCAACTTGCACTCAATTGTCCGTTATTGTGGAACGTGGTGACACGAACACTTAAAGAAATCCTCCCTTATAGCCGGACCATAACCGTGCTCTTGTGTTACGGATGAAATCGGATACTTTTAACAAATAAGTATATAAGATTATTCGCAATTCTACCATTGTTTAATGCTCTTTTCATTTTTACTATTTATATTTGCCATTAAAGTAATCTAGGTATAATATTAAAACAAAACTTTTTGTTACTTTGTACTATTCATATTGAATGCTCTTTATGCCCAAATATTGTAACACTGAATATTCTTTTCTATTAACAGCTGAAGACGAGGAATGGAATGAAGAGGGAAACGAGAATGAGGAAATGGTTACAAATGAAGAAAATCCAGAAGACGCAGAAGTTACAGAGGCGGACTGCGATGAAAACGACAAGATTGAAGATGGTGATATCAAATTGGAAGAAGGTACGTTATGTTTTTATTTAATGTACAAGTAAATGAATTCAAATTAGTTTATATAATTTAGTATATTATATATTATATTTACTTGTGTAGGTACATGTTTCATAAATAGAAATGGAAAATGTAAAGTCAAATAAATTACATTAGGCCATGAGCATACATGGAGATAATTGTTCAAGCAGGGTGAAAATTTGCATGTTCGAGGCAAATGGCAGCGCGCTGGAAGCGGGTGAGACTGGCGTATGACGTAGATAAGGCATGACGCTGATAAGTCATGACGCAGTAAAGTCATGACGCACCGACGTACGAGGTGCCCGGGTGCTCTGTGACGTTGTGTGGTTCAGCGGTTGACAGATGGCCGTGTTCCCAACATGTCTGCCAGTGTCTGCTAGTGTCAATGTTTATGATCGACGCCTACTGTACTTTATGCAGTATTTTCATAGCTAATTACGAGCACATATAGTTTACTTAATTACTATTTCGCTTGTTTATGTGTTAAATAGATTAAACTTTGGGATTTCATAAAATATTTAACATCTTTTCTGTTTTGATTCTACTGGGATAACTTTTTGCAAGATTTGTTAGACATAGGAAAAAACTTAAGTAGAAAACGACTGGATTTAAGACGAAAGGAAGACTATCAACTTAACTTTTTTAGCTAACTTAGAGTAACGTATTGTAAAATTATATCCTTTCCGTACGAAAATGTATAAAAGCCTTGTCAATAACAAATGTTAAAATGGCTTTAGAAGTATTAAAAGCGTCCATTTGTAGGAAGCATTCTGTCATACGCTTCGACAGGCTTCGTGCAATGGATTGGCTTAATGTGTGGAATGGAACTCCGACACATTCTGGAGTTCAATGCATTTACTTTATCATCTTACTTTTGCGCTGTCTTCATGTAGGCTCCCCAGGGAGCCGCTCGTCGCCGCGGAGCGATGTGTTGCTTCATAAACGAGTATAAGCACCAACAGACAATTTCGTAATTTACTGTTTTGTTTTTGTTTTTTTTTGTTCACGTTATATCCGAAAAACGTATTAAAAAGTGTATCGATAACTAGCTAAACTAGTTAGGAACTAAATGATTCAAACTTTCGTGAGACATTATACTAAACTGATATAAAAACGGCTAAACACTCACGTATATTCGTATAAATAATACCAGTACCACTCATCCTGATGAACGGCCCCCGATGGGTTCGAAACTAGTCGGTGCCGCCACCGGACGAATATACGTGAGTGTTTAGTCGTTTTTATATCAGTTTAGCTAGGGACTCTATAGTTTCATTTGAAAAGCAAAACATCGACACTTAATTCTGTTCGTAAAAGAATTCCGCGCTAATCTTTCTGTTAAAATTAATTTAAATCTACGAAATACTACGGTTATTTTTTGAGATGTACAAAATTAACTAATTAATGTTGTTTCAGATGCCGAAGGAACTGTTAAACAGGAAAATGAAGATGACTACGAGGATAATGTGCCTGGTGAGTTTTCAATAACCCATTTAGCTTAGTTAAAGTAGATTCAATGTAATATGTCCGTTGTGAAAATGGAAACATTTACACAATTGTCCCAAAAATTTAATTCGAAAGTTATGATTTTAAATGAGCTAGATTATTACCCTAAATAATCTACTTTAGTAACGTAAGGTTTAGGTTGTTATATATCCTTACTTCTTACAATACAACAAATATTTAATAATCCCCGATGCTCTAATTTTCTTATTATTGATGTTATCTTGTGTGAATCTTTCGTATAACTTATTCCAAGTCATTAAGATTATAAGGGTGAGGGCTGACGAGAACAATCCTCATTACAGCTCGAGAGAGTTCTAAGCCGCGACTTCGTTGAAATTCATAACGCTACTAAAATAAGAAGCAGTTTTTCACCGGCACTTTCCGCACTCTATGACGGCCGCTATGCGTTTTTACTGCGGTTTAATGTACTTTTTACAACTTCGTCAAAGGGTGTGCCGCTATGCTGCACGCGGCGCCCGTCGCTTTACGACTGCTCGCTTATCTCACGCCATTTGCGATAAATCTCCTCCAGACTCCTTGGACTTCAAATATTTACATGCTAATTCGTAGCCAATTCGGGAGCCGAGATTATAAATAAATTGCGCCCCGCCAACTCATCATCGCGTAAAGTTTCAACTTTATCTTTTATAGCAACGACTTTTTAAGACGCCGATTTCCCGCCAAATTTTAACTTTGACAGCACGCAGAGTACAGACTATAAAACTAAAATTTTCGTTCGAGAATAAAGGGTAGAAAATAATTTTACCTTAGGTATAAAAGTGTTGTGGCCATCTCAAATGAAATGTATTACTTTGTTTTTTGTTAGTGTAGAATATCTAAAAGACGCAAAGGGTACATGAAGGAATGAATTATTACTATGCTGCAGTAAGATCTAAAAGTGAATACAATTGAATACTAGAGCCGTAATACAGTTAACAGACAAAGCCTACTTTCCTATACGCACCCTCAGAATTATCAGTAAATTACTTATTGTTCACTTTTGGTCACAAATTGTGTATTGTTTTTTAAAGTCAGGAACATTTCCGCGTCGTGTGAGTTTAAGAACGCGCTTTGTTTTGTAACAAAGGCCTTGTAGTTATTTGTGGGTAGTAGCGATCGGAAAATGAGTAATTTTTCCCAGTGACTGGTTCTCGCTGTGACAGAGTCGTTGTTAGGCCAACACGAGTGTTGCGCAAATGTATTCTCAGTGGAGCGGGGGGCGAGGGGGCACGGCGCGGTGCGAGGCGGGGTGAGCGGCGCCGCTGTGCCCGAAGTTGGGCGCGTGGGCTCGCTCCCGCGGGACCTGGCCGCATGGACCGTACTCTACTGCTTTTTATTTTAAAATATACAGTACTTCAGACTTCAGGATTAATAATAATTCTGCTTATGAGAGAAGAAACGAATTTATAGCTTTATAATGTGAAAGTATGTTGTCTTCTTAAATTGTCAAGCTAAGATTGGGTTATTCGGTAGTTATTTCGTCAGGCAAGGTGACGCAACAATGCGGGCTATGTTGTTGGGCGAAGGCTCGCCGGCTGGCACGTGGCTAATTAAATGCCGATGCTCGCTCGGCAGGGCATAGCAGGGCAGGGCGGGGGTGCACTCGGAATGCCGTCCGGCGTCAGGGCGCGTGCTTCTCGACACCACTCCGCGTGCCTCGCTCACGAGTTAACAATGCCAAATTGTTACCTAACATCAAAACTTTGCGGCGTTTTAAGATAATAATTCACGTAATATTTCATTACCACTTTATAATCGTATCGTTTCCTCGTAAATAGATATGGTGCGAGGTCACTGAACGTGAAAAAAGCTCAGAAGAAAAGCTTTTCTTTATAAGCCATGAATCCACTTCTTAACAAAGCATGTTAAACTCCTTTAGTAAAATTTTGATTTTAAGCGAAAACTAAAAATAAAAAAATCCTTTACTTGAATAAAGAATTGAATATATTCGATAAACGGAGTACGTCCCTGGCAGGTCCCAGGTGGCGCGGCCGCAGCGTTTGGAATTATCACATAGTGGAGAGGGCGGGGTGCGGCGGGGGCCGGCGGGGGCGGCGGCGGCCCGATACATTCGTCACGGGCCCAGCAGCCATTAGGCATTTAGATATTATCATCGCACCCGGGGACCGCGACCTGCGCCCACCGGCTCCACTGCTTAATTACTAAAAGTGTTCGTTGTTTACTGTCATCCGTTCACATTCACACGCTCCCAGTTGGATCACCAACCTAGTTTTCGTTACGTTCCGTTCGTACCGATTTCGAACTGATGTCCTTCTTTAGCCATTTCTAGCCGTCGCCGACGATATATCTAATTTGATTTAAAAATGCGTTTATTATCCAGAAAGCAGACAATGCTTAAGTCCCATGTCTTAAAGGTAACAAATTAAAAACTTTTGCTTGATCAGGGATGGCAATATTTACCTATCAAAGTGTCATTTTCTAAAGAAACTTTAAATGAGGTCAAAGACATGTCATCAAATAATATTGACTTTGTGATTATTGGCGAAATTCCGTGGCGAAGGTATCACCAGCTCCCATAAGCACCACGGTATGCTTATGGGAAAAGTCTTATTCTCTATAACTGAAATATCTTTTTTCAAAATCTAAAACAAATATCAGTCGTATACACTGTTTGAGTAAAGCACCAAACATGGTACAATGTAAACGTTAGTTTAAGATTTTACGTTTGTTTCTTAAAAAATATATACCCATCCCCTACTCGTGGTCCCAGGTGACGGGTCTCCGGCCACACTTCCTTCCGTCCCGCGGGACGCTCCCGGCTCGCGCACGCACACACACGCATCAATATATGTACGATTAAGTACACTACTACTACATCGCAAGTCATATGTGCTCACAGTTTTAGGTAGAAGCACAAAACGATTTATCATTTATATTATTAACAAAGTCGCGTCTTAGTATTCGCATAAAAAACTTTCACGCTATGTTAGCAAACAAAATATTTTATTTTATTTAAATCGAATCCGGGATTAGCTATCCGTGTGATTTGATTTTGGGGTCGTTGATTTTGTAGAGATTGGAAACTATTCGTCACGGATTCATCTTTGACGTTATTGAGGTGTTTTAATAATGCAGATGAGCATCAAAGGTGGTGTCGTGATAGCGTTGCGTGGCTGCGCGCTGGAGGCACGGCACCGCGCTTCCTGATTAATGCCGCCTCCAGGGGCGGTTGAACTGATTGCTGCTCCAACTCTCGGGGGCTTTTTCACCACATTCGTACGTTTCACTCTGCTCGAAATATTTTGATAAGCTCGCTCGTCTGTTGTTGAAACGGGATTTTAATGTGGAAAATTCTTTAATCAGCTCGGAAAATCATGTAGATCGATGTGAATATTTTTAGTAGATTTTTAAAATAAATTGATATTTTACTTCAACGTATTTAAGTGACGGATAACCAGAAAAGATCTTAACGGTCTCATACTAACAGTGTTTAAAAACTAATAATTAATAAAAATTATTAACCACATGGTAATGTCAAGGAAAAGTTATGTAAAAACTTTCTAAACGAATTGACCGTGATACACAAAGCAATCACGATTTACATTATTGTATTCCGTTGAATTGGCATGGCTAACTTTTGATGAAATTTCTACTTTTGCATTTTTATCCATAACACGTGTTATGTGCAATAAGCGAATTTAACTTAGTTTAGAAGTGGGGCGTGAAATCAGTGAGAGAGAGATGTGCCATTTGGCAACGCGTGAGAAAGTTTTCTCGGGAGGGACATATCGACATCAGTCAGCAGTGCTACTGGAATAACACCTTGAGAACGGCTATGCGAAAGGTAGGTCGTCCCTGGAGGGCAGTATGCTCAAGGCGGCAGAAAATTAACGTGCCCTCTCGGGAAATCTAGCGGCAGCCTTAGAGCCTTCCGGCCGCTGCGCCCGCCGCGCCCACTCCGCAGGGATGTACTTAATATCTCGCTCTCTCAGGCGCACAGCGTCTGGAGCCTTTGTAGGTTTTGAAACCTGTATTAGTGGAAATCATGTTATATGAAACTAATTATTAATAATTTTAGCCGTTCTTTTAACAATCTTCGAAAAAGAGACGTAAAATAAACAGTATTAATAAATCATTTGACACAAGATTCGAGACTGTGTTGCTTTGCCTCTCCGCATAAAAACCCCAACGGCTTAAATGACAAAATGAAAATTTTTAGTATACATCAAATGAAGTCTGAGTAGCGAAAGCAATGTAGTTTATTGAGCGCCCCTTTTTGACTGTGACTGTATTATAATTTTAATTGTATTTCAAATGTATTATTATTTTAAAATGAAATAATATATTTAATATGACTCTTTAGAATAGAGATCTTGTTTTAAATTTACTTATCACAGATTATTTATTTACGAGGCGAATGGTGACTAAAACCACATCGGTAACTGTTGGAAAGGGGTTGTAAAACTATAAATTGGACTTAGCAAAAGTTTAAACGGGATCACGTACCCTAAATGTGAATTTAAAACAAGGGTAAAATTGTCGTGGAGTTGCAATGAGGCGCCTCGCAAGTGGATTAGAGGGTCCGGCCGCAGGCTGCGTCCGCCGCCAACACCGCCAACGCCGCTCACCTCAATACTGAGCCGGAACTTCACATAACGTACTAATAGAAAGTACACTGAAAAATCTATTGGTAGCAGTTTTCAGTTTCAGTGATTTATTTTTAAGTGATTGGATGTCATTTAAGTAATACGTTAATTGAAGAATTAAATTTCTTTAAACTTTTTGTATTTCGTTTGGATATTATAATACTACATTGTTTGTTCACTTGAATTCGTTGGAATTTTTGACACGTGAGATTTATAAAAGTAGCAACGCAACATATTTTTAAAATATCGAGGCTTTAATTTATTCCGTATTCATCATAATAAATGTGGACCATTCAAACAATGTATATTTAAAATTAAATTTTATTTACAGATGCAGACATCAAATCGGAGAGCATGGACAGTTTTGAATCAGGTAAGCATCAAGTTTATCACAATCTATAATATATTTTTAACGTAATTAGAATGAGAACGGTGCGTAGTTATCTTGTTAATATTTGAATAGTGCAAAGTATAAAAAGTGTAAGTAGGAGTAGGACAGGCGGCATCGTTAACGCAGCCCTGGAGGGCCTTTGACCAACTCTCCTCGCAATACTGCCGAAAAGATAAAATGAACATAAAGTTGAGGAGCAGATATTTCCGCTCAGAGGAATCGTAGTCTCTCTCCCGGCGACACTAAACCGCGGCTACGACTGCCGACACGCAGTTTGCGGAACCAAAACGCGCGTTCCGCTTCTTCACTACACATAAGTACTAAAAATTTTACACTTAATAGCATTTTCTTTCGAACTCAAACTTCGGATACGTAATGTTATTAGAAACTTTTATTGTTTTTGTAGTAATTTTAATCTCAATTTCGACATGTTATTTAACTATTTTTAAATCGTGTAGGAACGTTAATTTTTTTCGTAATTTTCAAATTCTTTCTTTTCGATATGCATTTGAGAGGCAAACTTCCGAATGGTACTAAAGGAATATCATGAGATTTAGTTACAACTTTAGATTAACTATAAAAAAATACTCTTAAAATAACTAATAAATGAAATTGGTGTAATTTGTTTACAAGTTAAATGGGAAATTAGGAAGTGTCGGGCCACACCGCGCCGCGCGCTCGCCGTACGCTAAGTGACGAACGATGTTCACAATTTAAGGCGTCCGTTTTAATTGTAAGTTGGGGCGACCTCAGCAATGCAATTTTAGCCCCAGATTTCATAACAATTGCATTCTTTTTACTATTTAGTCTTTACCTAAGGACAAAAAGGTAGTTGTTCTAACTTATAATACATATACGAGTCTACTTACTTGATTCTTTTATAGTTTTTTTAATAACACACGTTGAATTCACTTTCCGAACTTTTGGCGACGCAGCACAAAATCCTAAAATATCGAAGACCTTCTTCATTGAATTAAAAGATTCATAGTTAACTATATCTGGGAATCTTAAATTTTTTTTGACCAAATTCAAAAACTGTCAGTGTCGCTGACATTATTTTCCTTTACTTCTTTATCTAAATTGAATTCATACCAATAAGTGCAATACAAAAGGCGAGAATTTTGTGGGTACCTGTCGGGGATTTGATTAGAACTCAGTATAACCCGCCTAAATTTAGAATCAAATGTAATACTCAGTCCTCACATCGTATCATAATCAGTCGGAAATGTGGAATCATGACCGCTCAAAGTGTCGGGCGCATAAATCGTGCGCGAAACTAATTGTCACCTAAAATAAAGTGACGGGTGGACTTTTATCAGGACGTATAGCGACACGGTTCCGCAATCAGGTGCAGTTTAAAATGTGCATTTGCAATGTCGCGCGGCGGACGGCGGGCGGCGCGGCAGGCGGCGGGTTACGGGCGACACGGCGGGCGGCGCAGGGCGCGGGTAGATATGCATTTTCAATAATTGACGGTCAGACGTGGTGCGGGGCGGGGGAGAGGACACATTAAAATGTTCCGCCGCTAAACTTTGCGCTTTTCGTCGTCAACGCCTAAAAGCCAGTATTTACAATGAAACAAAATATACAGTTATATAGATAAAAAGAAAAGTTTTATGTTGTTTATTATATTCCTCGGGGAAGTTGATCTATGTACTTAGATGTTTTAAGCATATGTCTACCTAGTACTGAATTTTCTAATTAGCAAACTATTCGTAGTAGTACAAACGAGGTGCCGTCGCGAGTTAATTTAAATGTACGAAAATGTTCCTTACACCAGTCTGTGGACGGACAGCTGTGACGGAGAATTTCGGTTGCAGGATGTAAGCAATAATTATGTTCTTTCCTTTACCTGTTACTTTAAATGTTTACTTTTTACGTGAATTTTATTACAAAAACCATAATTTTTAACGCGTCAGTATTCTTCGACTTTATATTTAATTGCTTTAATGTATTGTTTGTTTTAAATGTGTACAATTTAATGAAGAATAACTAACTACTTATATTATTTTTATAGTCGCATTTGTCAGTATCTCGTAACATCTTTACGAAAACAAAGAAAAGTTTTTCTTGTGTTATTTTCGTAGGGAGATCACGTAGGCGCGCACCTCATCTGCGGCGGTCCCTGTACGAAGATAAAATTTAAAATTCAAGGCCGCGTTAACGAACCGGCCCCGCGAAGAAATAGATATTCAAATGCGAGGTCCCATATTAACATTTATGGCAAGTTTGCGGGCGCGAGACAAAGGCGGTCCCCCTCGGGCTGAGGTCGACCGACTACAAGGCAACTCGCGCTTTACTATCTACATATATCTCTTTAGTTACACCACTGGATTTTTTTATCCTATCACATATTTTTAAACTCATTTTCTAAATTTAATCTACCCATCGTATCTATAACCGCGACGCTGAGTCTTGTGTGCCTCTCATGAATACTTGTAACAAGCGCCGTCGTATCTTCATTATATTAAAGGTTATGCAGCGCCCCTATCGGGTGTAAAGTACACCAAAAATGTCATGCTAATTTTGACAAATAGTACATATTCAAGTATCTTTTCTGACTTTTATGCGTAAATGTTAATTATAATTATTTATTTATTATTTGTAAATTTTGATATAAATGACGATGACGTTATGAAGACGCTAGTCGCGTAAAATTAAAATTCAATATCTAGCAGCTAGTAGAGAATTTAGTATTTGTTAGTAAAAATCAACTCAACAGCCAATTGATCTTGTATAGCTTTTGTCTACTTGAAGAACTTTTGTTCAGCTAAACGATGGTCGCTTCATCTCGAAAAGGTGGTTTTACGTTCATAAATATTTCCACGTCGATGATTTTAGAATCGCTTCGACAATGAGTTAGAGCTACAAGAATGCCGTAAACTAGACAAAGGACGCAAAGCATTATGTTTGGCTTTACCATTTGCCGAGAAGACAAATAAAAGTTTCGGCGAAAACAAATCAAAATCTCAATTCTGGTGGCTGCATTATTTATGTGATATTGCTTGGCGACTGTCGACGTCCCCCTTTTTCTTTTCTATAAAGTTCCGGTCTATATTTTTCCCACTTTCACAACTTTCCCGAGCGGCACTTAAAAATGATAGACCGCCGTGATTATACTTAACTTTGTATTTTCGATTCACCTTTTCGTTAGATTTAATCTTGCGAAGGTCATTTAGAAGTTCAAAAGGCCCGTAGCGTTGTGTTGTTGCGGTAGAATGAAATCGGAATAGTGTTTTGTTCCAAAAGAGGCTTTTATTCGACACACACGTTTCTTATTAATATCGGGCGGTCGGAATGGCCGAAGACGTCCCCGGCGCCCGTTCTCTCCCAAATAAAATTGCCGCTATCTAAACAAAGAGCCCTAATTATTCGGCCGTGGCGGGCGGGGTCGCTCTCTTATGGGTGTTCTGGGGCCCATTTCGCTTCTCGTACAGCGCCCTAGGGAGCGTCGGGCGCCGCCTAGCCAATCGGTGGATGGAGAAACGGCCGATCCGCAACCTTTTTATACGCGATATCGGCGTCGGCGCCGGACTTGCGCCCCCGCGCCTTCCCGTACTCACCCGCACTCGCCCGCACTTACCCCGCTCTCGTCCACGCTCGGTGCTGAATTAAAAGTTGCAAACCGCACATCTGATTACCCAAAACATACATTACTACCGATCGCCAATCTCGATAAGCCACAACTAATTTATTGCTCTGATGTATCGTTTTAATTCTTTTGTTTTTATTTATTTGTATTCACACTCTGTTGGTAAGTATATTGTGCCGACTATTTTATTTAAAATGGCAAACCTTGGCCGTACCTAGATAATAATAGAACAATTGGGCGATTCGTTAAATGTTTTAGAAGGTCGACCCGGGGTATAACCGGACTGAGGTCGATCACTTTTCGACGTAAGTTCAGGTTTAACAGTGCACATCGCTTAGCTGACTTTGTTCTTTAAGTGATTTTTTTTTTACAAATTAAGTATTTGTAAAAACCAAATTGCACGAGTTTAAACATTGCTCTTTTCTTACAATAATTCTTTGGTATTGCTGATGTCCATGGGCGTTGTGAACACCTCGGTGTTCCTGTTGCTGGTTTGCCCCCTTCTGTTATAAAAAAAATAAAAAAAAAACAAAGCCTTATTACGAGTAACATTTGCCTGATGACAAGTTCGGTGATAAACCTAAAGTATTCGACATTTCTGTGCCTCTTTTAAATTTAAGCTTGAAAGCTTATTTATTTGCAATACCGATGAAGAATACGCCTCTGTGTAATCTAGATCAGTATTTGTTTTACGCAAAATGTATAGAAAGGCTTCATATTTCTCTTTACGAAACAAATAAAAGGTTCCAATAGGTGTCTATTATATGCAGTTTGAATGTGAACGAGTTATTATAAGGGCGGCGGTACCGGTTGTACACTTTAGAACTTATTTTAATTTGCACCCGATTTTATTTTGAGACAATAAATTGGATATAAAGGGTTTCCGAGCGGTTTTTGCCTCCGGGCGCATTGTCTTCACCCTACGCCTTTGCTGGATTTTCATTGTATAGAAATTATGAAAGAAAAAAGGTGATATCGAATGTCGGTGCGAGCGGAGGGCGGGCGTAGCTCGGCGCGGCGTGGGCGACACACGACACCCGCGCCCGCTCGCGCGCCCTCGTACGCGCCCGCGCCTTTGCCATTGTGCTAACCTATTCACCCGCCGCTTATTCCTATGCAATGTTTTAAGCATTCGATTGCCCTTGCTGCTATTAAAGGGTTCCCAAGAAGCACATATAATATGAGTTTTTATACTTGTTTTTTCTTTTGGCCAAGCCGAAGGGTACGCTCATTGTTTCAGTAGTGAATCGCGGCGATTGAATGGCTTCTGGCATACACAGGGCCCGCTCTCGGTCGCAAGATGATTGTAATGAGCGGGCGGAGTGGGGCGGGCCGCGGTCACCCGAGGTGTCGACAACAAACCACCTACATAGCTTAATGCGTCGTGAAT